ACGTATGTCATAGTTCCCCTCTCGCTAATAAGAAATATGTGTATAATAATATATCTTTTGTTGCGTACATTATCAATGCTAATTATAAACAGCTTGAAGAAAATCGGGGATAAAATACCACCTTGTCTTATCCCGTGTAATGCGATATCGAGCTTATTTCAAGGATTTAATAGGTCGAAATTAGAAACAAAGGATAGCTAATTGATACCAGGAAATACAAATTATTTGTTCTTCGTTATTAGCAGAGATTTGCGAACCTTTAAAATTACATCGCCAGGAAGCAGTATCAGCTGATAAGGATTATACCCGGGACCTTGCCAGACTGGGTCGCTTTATTTTTACATAATCCTGCGATTTCGGTTATGGCTTGAAATTAGAAACAAAGGATAGCTAATTGATACCATTAACTTATTTATTCTTTGTTGATGTTGACGGGTACTTGCTGAGATTTGCTAAGCTTTCAATTCGCCAGGAAGCTGTATGAGCTGATAAGGATTAAACTCGGGACTTTAATATTACATAATCCTGCGATTTGGAATGAAATAAGACGGATGTTAATAGAAATAAATCAAGCATTGTACACTTTTTAAATTCTACATTGTTTCAAAAACTTACTAACCCAAGAAGACAGAATGAATACCAACGTTTAAATGATTTATTTATAGCTATATGAATCCGTTTTGGGCTTATTACTTCTAAATGATGTTAATACCCCTGGTTCTTGAGCGTAAGAGTGTTTCTCTACTTTAGGAAAACTCGACATTTAATTGTTATCGGTATTAAGTTGACACTAATGGGAAATAAATGACGATATAGCTGAATGGAAGACGTGAGAATTAATTTAACACGTGTAGACACTTGTAATATAAGTAAACTGACCTACATGCACTACAGTAAGTAATTAATTAGGTTACAAAACTTAAAAGTCAGAGAGAACAAAATGGATTTCCGTATCCGTAGGGTCAAAAAGTGTCGACTCATTAATTAACAAGTGTATCCTTACATTTAATTAAAACCAAAAAAGAAAATCAAACACAACTGGTTGCCAGAGGCTCTTCTTACTTGTACATCGATCAAAAAGATTTAATATTTGGTGATGATAAACCACACGTAAACTTTATAGCGCACCAAATGACATGCACACGTATATATACATTAGCAATTGTATATGCAAATGTAATTCTATACACGTTATCGTATATTTAAAAACTGACATACATTGGCCTATGTTGTTGTACACCGTGTTTCTTGAACACAGCACGACATGGTTATAAACTATAGTATACGACATTTTATAAATAGAAGTGATCTGATAGTAGTATACAAAAGATCTACTTAAATACATGTCAATGTATTGCTTTACTTCACTTTATAATACTCTCCGTAAATCTATTAATGATTGAATACCATTGTCTAGTCAAAGATATCGGGTTATTTTTAGACAGTTCTTATGGAAATAAAAATTGTTTAGAGAAGCCTATCTGCATGTTTATGTATCTTATGAAATCTTTATCTGTAATTAGTTCTAATTAAATATTCAACATGGGAAGGTATACACGTATATAACTACTAATGATTATTTTGAGTCAAGCAACCAGCAAAAGTGATCTATTTATCATGAATACAAGTAGTTACCTAGTAGTAGCGAACTGCTAAAGTATATATTTATATTATTATATATACGCTCCTTGTATTGAATAGGGGAAATTAAGTGTGTAAAATTTAATATACTTATTATATAGAGGTATATATGAAACGACCTACATAGACACGGTAGATATATATATATATATATGACTTTATTGTAAATGACCTTTACATGTCTCTTGATATTTCTCGATATAAACCCAAAAGGTTTAAACGGTTGACCAGACCTCTCTTAGTAACATGTATTTAATTAATGTTTGCTGGTTTGTATAAAAGGAAATTGGGGTATGCCCCCACCCCCACCCCAAGCAGTCCATTCGATTCCCCTATCTCTTCTACTGCCATGGTGTAATTTATTTTCCGGGTACTTGACACATTTTGTCTGCACACAAAATACTAAAAACATTCACAATCATATGGTTTCATTTTATGTTCCATATATAGAGCATAAAACCTGTGAACGCAACCCCACCATACTCTCCTAGCGCAAAGGATCTAAGCAATTGTTGATAAAAGCACGTTATGTTATCGTAACGCACAGCTCCCTACCCAATGTATTGATAATACCACGTCATGTTACAGTAAAGCACATGTCTCCATCCAAAGTACTGACAAAACCATGTCATGTTATCCTAACGCACAAGTCTCTATCCAATGTACTAAAAGAGCACAATATGATACACTAAAGCACAAGTCTACCAAATGCGTGGATAGAACCACGTCATGCTATCATAACGCACGTGTCTCTATCCAATGTACTGATAAAAACCACGTCATGTTATCCTAACGCATAAGTCTCTCAGGGTTCCCGCGGCTTCGTCAAACATTTTTTCAAAGATATTCAAGGATAAATATACGTCAAATTCAAGGATTTTCAAGGACATTTTTTTAGCCTAAAGTTACACTTTTTCATCTTAAAAATAACCCAAACATTACCAACTATCGTTATAATCTCATATTTAAAAGGAATTAAAGACATTTGAAACAAAATTAAGGATCTCAACTGAAATTCAAGGATATTTTCCTATTTCCGCGAAATTCAAGGATATTCAAGACCTTGAAAATGAAATTTTAAATTTAAGGATATTCAAGGGTTTTCAAGGACCGCAGGAACCCTGTCTCTACTCAATGTACTAATAAAACCACACCACGGTACACTAACGCACAAGTCTATCCAATGCGCTGATATAACCACGTCATATTATCCTAACGCACATGTCTCTACCTAACGTAATGATAGAACCACGTCGTGTTATCCTAACGCACAAGTCTGTACCAAATGTACTGATAAAACCACGCCACGTTATCCTAACGCACAAGTCTCAACCCAATGTATTGATAACCCTGTGCATGTCTCTTCAAAGTGTATTGGTAAACCTACGTTACCGTAACCTACAACCCCTTACCAAACTCACCGCTTATGCTAGGTTCGCACTATCAAGATTCGCGCTACAATTGAAATCGTGGTTTTAATCGTTGAGTAATAACGGTGATCCTATCAGGACTTATACTACATTGTGGTCAGTCGTAACAATCGTGTTGATCGTATCGAAACGTATCTGCACGTACCAAATCCTGGACTCAATAGGGAAATCATGACGTAACGCATTGCACGACAGTGGGAACCTAGCATTAGCAATTGCGTATTGATAAAAGCACTTTATATTATTAAACATTACGAGCCCTGTGAATTACACCCACGTCTTGTATTGATTATGATTATTCAACAGTTGACCCAGGGTGTTGCATACAAAGTATATAGCGTCATTGTTATAAATGTTTATTTCGAATATAATAATCGATAACTAGTCTTAATCCAATAACGTGATTGACTTATGTTTATTATACATTTATTTACACAATTACTTTTGACTTGGTTTAGTAATTCTAACAAATATGGAAGTTGAATGGCAAAGAAACGCATGTCTGCTCTCTCATTCATAACTTCAGAAAATATCAAATTAGTTTCGCCGTAGAAAAAAATAATTAGTCAATAAAACTTTGTCTTAACTAACGATGGTAAAATGTTGGCGCCCCATCTCTTCCATAGTGGCTGAAATTCAGGGAAGCAGTACAGAAAAGCATTAAGTACTCCAAGATTCAGAGGTTATATTAAAAGAGCGATTATTGTATAAACAGACAATCAAAACTCAATTAAAACTACCATATAGAAACATCCTAACCAAAGAGTTTATATGGACGCCAAAAAGATGTTCACACCCAGTCCTTGCTCAAACACTGCCAATCTATTAATGTAAATAGCTAGCCAATGTACAGTTAATCATACATCCATCATGCAACATTCAAAGAGTCATCGCATTGTCTCATGTAAAATAATCAATTCCGTTTCAAAGACGATATTTTGTCCTATCAATAAACCGAATGTGTGTGTGTGGGTAACTTATTAGTATTACAGTGTGACAAATAGGTATAAAATATAAATATTGATAAATACAATATATACTTAAATTATGTTATAAATGTCCATTTCAGCAGGGTCGAATTAAGCTTGCAAATATCACGAGAGGCCCTTGCATCAACAGTGAAAGGGAGGACATACTTTAAGTCACACTCACACAAATGCAATCTGTATGTGAAAATGGTGGGTAGATTGATTGTTTTGGCACTGACATATACAATATAATAAATAAAATTATAAATTGCATGCTTTATATAAAAACATTTTAGAAATAATTTCGCGGCCCGTGAAAGGGCCCAGTCGGTCCTCGTCCCCTTAATCCGGCCCTGCGTTTCAGCGAATTCGAATCTAATAAAGCCATCAAATAATGGGGAATAATTGTTTGTAAACGATCAATATGACCAGGAAATAACACATAAATTCCATTTTATGATTACAATGTTCTAGAAATTCAGATCAATAAACAAAAACAATAAAACATTAAACATTCATTTCCTTCGTCCGTCACGTCACATCGTAAATTCTAACATGGGTTGAACTGATCTTCAAAAGTAACTTCCTATATCCCTGATTTTATAATAGAAACAAGTATCACATCCTTTGAAGCAAACATAACGTTCCCGGATCCTTGGTGGAACACATAATACAAGCAGAATACACGGAATGGTGTTGTTATTACCTTACAATAAACATAAATGCAAACGAAATTTCGGCAAAATAAATACATGTAAATTTCGAATCATATATTGTTTCATTTATTTCAAATAACAGTGGCATCATAAATTAGAAAACAAAACATTTCCGACTTCCACAACGTTATTAGCTATTGCTTTGTTGTCGCTTTGTGATGCATTATAAATACCGTTAAAATATCTGTTTTGTTTCTTATCAATTTAATTTAATTTGTGTAAAATAATGAAATAAATAAACCTACCTTATATATTTATATCCATACAACAATGCCTGATGGTGTTGATATATAAATGTATATATTACTACCGGTGGATGTAGTTTATTCTACATTAGCCTACATGTTCTCTCTCCGTTCTTATTGTCACGGTGTATTTAATCCCTACTGAGCGAGGCTAATATTGTACAATCAAATAAATCAAGGCTTTAACGATAGACTTTATCAACCAGACCCATTATCCTAGGGCCACTAATAATTACTAGATCTTGATAATCGGGTCTGAATCTATTGACAGTCCCGCAACAAAGACAGAAGCCAACCGTAAAAGGACGGGTGCATTATTTAGTTGCCGGGATGCAGGAACTTTTTGCCACTTGAGAAGTAAATAATAAATAGTGTTTTGAGATAAGATATGAGATATTCCCAGATTGGAGAGATATTTGTACAGGCAAATAACCCCCCCTCCCACCCGCAATTTACCTGCTTTAAGATTAGAAAATCTCTTTTGTGTATCCAATGATGTTTTGTCAATACAAACTACGATAAAAGTAACTACTCCAGTATCCCCATTGTCATATCGAACGTCGACGTGGACTCGACCAATGGATTAAAGCTACACAATTAGATTGGTATAATTTGCTATTTAAAGTACCATTAAGTACTAATATGTGTATGTTGTATTTAAGATTTGGATGTTTTATCTAATGATAATAAGATCTAGTATATAGCGGTCTCTAGACCAGACAATAACCTAAAGATAGTTTAATGTTTAACGGGTATATCGATTTATCTTACAAATCACTGGAAGAAAACCCCAAACAAAGATACTGAACTGAATGAATGAAATGATGTTTAATGTCCCACTTTTCTGAACCAACCTGACCAATGAACTAAAAGAGGAATTTATAACAAAATAACAGTTTGAAACACTTTCAAATTATAATTACAAAGGGCTAGAAATGGGGTGGGCAAGTGGTAGAATTCGTGCGCTTAGATCGAAAGGTTTGTTATGGAATCAAGTGGCGTGGTTTCGAGTTTACATTGACATGCTAGGTTGTAAACATGCGCCTGATGGTGGGTGGTGAACCTGTAAATATTTAAAGAAAATAAAACCGCTATGATCTGCATTTTGTATTCAAAGAACTTCAAGTCGGTATATGGTCATTGTAGTTGTACACCATTAATTTTCCCATGGACTCTAATCTTAATTCTGGTCCCTTGGTCAGACTTTAACTTTTCCTAAACATTTTGTTTGGTTGAAGGCTTTTTACCACAGATGGGACAACGTGTGGCAACCGCGTTCTCAAAAGAATGTATATGGTTCACAATGAAAATCTTGAGATACACGAATTGAAAATACCTGTAAACATGCAACTGTCCGCTATACACATTTAAAGACAACCAGCCTCTTAACTCTGTTATCCTTCCACCTCAGAATATTCACCAACACCTAGACGGAAAATGTAAATGCAAACCCCTTTGGTCGATTCCACAACAAAGAGTCACCATAAATCGCCTTTCAAAAGGAGATAAGGGAGAGAAAGACTATAATTTATTGCTCTAGAAGTATAGGAGTTAATTGTGTCCTATATGACATAAAAAATTAAGTCTAGCTTTAAAGATGGCTGACAAATGAAATGAAATGGGATTTAACGCCCTACTGTTCTGCTCCGACTGGTTAATGAAGACGGAACATGGCTGGGATATTTAGCTTTAAAGAGGGTATACACTTTAACATTATTTTCCAGAAAAACATTTCAACAGGATTTGTACCGTATTTAGATTTTCATAAACCTAACCCTAACCAATTAGCACATAACCCATATAGCTTTAAACTCTTGTGACCGAAACGTCTGTCTACCCCTGAATTACCTGCGACATGTAATTTATTTTGCCAGAGGTGATCACAATTGAAGTGCTTGTTTAAGTATACTGTGTTGTTTTCTTCTATTTGTTATTAAGTTTGTCTATCTAAAAGTTCTATGACAGAATTCACATTAAAATCACATTAACGTGTCAAAATTTTCGGGCATAGTTATTAAATACAAAAATTGTACATATTAACAGTTTATGGGTTTGAACCCAATGTAATATCATAAGCCCACTTAAGGCCAAGAAAACTAAATGCCTGAGTTTATAGTTACTTGCCCACCCCCAGTCTCTCCTTCAACACACAAAAAGGGTAGGTCGGTCTGAAAATCTATTTATTTTTTATTATTATTTTGATGGGATTATCTATGTCCTGGTATTTCTAGTTGAATCACTAATTAATGTTCTTGAAAATAATATCTTAATTTCAGTTTTGTAATTTGTCTAGAGAATCCCACGCCAAGACGGAGTTATAGTGCTTTGGAAATGAGAAGAAAAAAAACAAATTAAAAATTTAGGGTCCACGATTTTGAATTTATAATAAATATAAATAAAAACTAAATTCGCCCGGTAACCGTAAACACAGGTAATTTTAATTTTCGCCTGATCATATATAGACGATCTTTTGTTCTCAGTTGCCATAGATCATTTAAGTTGGAAACTCACGTTTGAGAAAGTGTAACAGGAGCTCAAGCCTCTAAACAAATCATGCTGTACTTCACCTTTCAGATATGCATTTATATGTAATACGTATGCAGAAATTATGCAGTAATTATCCATGTGTAAATAGTCTAATGAAATTGAATATTAAATACATTTCATATGCAAATATGTCAGAGAAATAATTATATAGCGAGAAGCAATTGCTTGAATAATGTTGATATAACCTAAACTGAGGGTCGTATAAATGACGCGATAAGTTTAGTCAGAATATATACCTATCGTTTTAAGGAAATGGTAACCAGTGTTAAAGGGACTATCCCGATTTAAACAGAGTCTTAAAAATAAAAGTCCGAGTACGTATGGAATTTAAGCGTTAAAATATAGAGGACTGATGTATCTACCTTGTCTCAACATTTCAGCTCAAAATATTGAGTCGTTTGGGCGTGAACGTCAAAACTGCTTACCCGGACACGTAACACTTTTAAGATTTCGGGTCAAATTTTTCGTTGGGTGATCTGATAATCGATTCCCGTTCCTTTAGCGGTCTATACAGTGAATGCCACATGTGCTGTACTTGATAATGAAAGATAAATTTCACCTACACATTATTTTTATATAAAATAAAAGTCTGGGTTTATCCAGACACCGCATAATACAACTTGGGACACCGACCTCAATTTGCAGATGGAGACTGACGGATTTAAGTTGTTTGAAAACGTATCACGTAAATTGAGTTAGTTGCTCGGCCCAAAGGTAGATGATTTTAAGGGATTTTAACACAAATTTATTCTCCAAAATATTATCGGGATTGGCCCTTTAACAAAGTACTGGCGTTAAAGATTTAAGAATTCCAGGAATTGTATCACCGACTATAAACTGACATGCTATAAACTCCACCCATTACATTGCATACCGGTAATTATATTGTTGAATGACAAACGCACAGTGACAATACATCTCAGTACACAAATCGAATTTATAATAAGCTTATGGGAGATTTTACACAAATATTAATCTTGGGTTCTTAGAGTAATTGAACCCATGAATTATCAATATTAGTCGATTAAATGCTATTATGATAGAATTAGCCTACTACATACCCCTGGGCGCATTCTACAACACAGAAGATAAAATGTTTAATTTTTGTATAAGATTATTATATACTTTTAATTATATTAACACATGCACAGCAAGATAAGCTTTTTACAAAGCAGTGGCATTTCATTATGTCTCTGACTGGACGTGCCAGTTATGCGTGTAGAAAAGGAGTCAAGACGTGTAAACCACTCCCTCCTATTGAAATCCATTTGCCCGGATTGATAGAATTATGATCACCGATTATAAGTAAATCATAAGGTCAGTAATATTAGTGTCTATAGATTTATAGATCTGATTCAATGAACCGTTTTATTTTTATATGATCAATAATAATTAGACGACTGAACGTCAGCGAAAAAAAAGTAAGTGATTTATTATATGGATTGTTGTTTCACCTGACTGGGTTTAATATCTACAACATTTAGTTAGGGAGCCACGGTGGCTCAGTGGGTGAGACGTTGGCTCGCTAACCTGGAGGTCCCGTGTTCGATCCCTGCGTTGACCGAGAAAGTTCATCTGGATTTTCCGGCGTGGCTCCTCCTTGTGAGTGGTGCAGGGCCGAGGGCCTGGCAAGGGACAATGTATAGTCGTTCGGATGGGTCGAAAAACAGAGGTTCCGTGTACACATTGGCATGCACGTTAAAGATCCCTTGGCAGTTGAAATTCGATATGAGTAAGTCGTAGCACCACTGTCGGGGCAAAATTGATCTCATAGCACACTGTATGGCGTATACCCGTCTTCATTATCCCAGTCGGAGCAGAACAGTAGGACGTTAAACCCCATTTCATTTCCATTTAGCATTTAGTTGATATTTTTCTCAAAGACTAATATTGCTAATTAATGGGTTTAATTAGAACATTTATTCGTCAAATATACATAGAGGTTTATTGATTATATACTATTGATTTCAGCTTAATAGTTATTAGTTCTTTATACAACGAGAATATCAATGTCTTTTACATTCTACTTCAGGTGTATATAGGTTTTTATATACTCTAAATTATTCATTCTATATAAGTTAACAATTGACGCCGAGAATACATTGTACCGAGACTTAGACAGTCTATTGATTACTGTAAAATTGAAACCGGAACTGGCTTAAGTAGGTCACATTGATTATATTTAGGTGACACATTTAACAGAAAGAATGACTTTGGCACAGACGTTTTCTTTAACCCTAACCCCCCATACAACACTAACCAGGTAGCAGCTCCTAGCACTATTTGGCACTCATTTTGTCCTCTGGGTCCGAATCGTCGGTGTCGCTTCAGTTCCGTAGTATCCGAAAAAGAAAGGGTTTAAATACTGGTGACTGGGAGTTTTTTTTGGTTTAGAGTTTCGTTTTGACGTCAGATCTGTTTTTCAATGATGAGGGTTGCAACTAATTACCGCAGATATTTCAAAACTCCACATGCTTATCCAAGAATGCTTAAAATTAATGTTTTGGAAATACCATCTATTCGTTTCATAAATCTCCAAATGATTTTAAAAGAGCCACTATAATGCAGTCGATCTACTTGGACCATAAGCTATATTACTGGATGCTCAAGACCAAACACCACATCAACAGTATAACAATCATCTCGTGTTGTATTTAAGGTCTGGGACTATTCAAATGCGGTATTTGGCCAACGCAATAAAACATTTATAGCCGAT